CTTGAAAAGAGAAGTTACATTAGCTAACTTCCATTTTGATAAAAGAGTTAGCACAAAAGATCACATATAAAGTGTAATAGACTTAAAATAAGACCCAAAACTCGAGCGCTTTCGAATAGTTGACTATTATTCTTTAGGAGAACAAAGAAGAAGAAGAAGAGTCAACTATTCGAAAGCGCTCGAGTTTTGGGTCTTATTTTAAGTCTATTACACTTTATATGTGATCTTTTGTGCTAACTCTTTTATCAAAATGGAAGTTAGCTAATGTAACTTCTCTTTTCAAGGAAGGTGATAAGAATTGTCCCAGTAATTAGAGACCCATTATTCTTACACCAGTTGTGGGAAAAGTTTTGGAAAGTCTGTTAAAATATGCTTTGCAAAATCATTTAACAAAGTTTAGAATTTTATTGGATAGTCAACATGGTTACACTAAGGGAAAATCCTGCCTTACAAATCTTTTAACATTCTTTGAAAAGTTTACTGTTTATGTAGATGAGGGTAAGGACGTAGATTTGGTTTATCTGGATTTTCAGAAAGCATTTGACAAGGTGCTACATAAAAGGCTTGTACAAAATTAGCACTATATGGCTCAGTCTTAAGACCTTTGCTCTTTTTGATTTACATCAATGACATAGATCAAGGAATAGTCAATAAATTACTTAAATTTGCAGATGTTATTAAGGTCTTGGGTGTTGCTAGCTTTGAAGACGATGCTGCTGATTTACAAAAGAATTTAGATCATTTAGTGAGTTGGGCAAATATATGGCAGATGGGTTTTATTTATAATAAATACAAGATAATGCATGTGGATTATCATAATTTGAATAATAAGTATAATTTGGATGGGAATAACTTTAATAGTGTGATGAAGGAAAGGGATATTGGTGTAATAGTCGATCAGTCTCTAAAGGCACCCAAGCAGTGTGCTGTTGTTAGTGGTAGAGCAAATAGGATTTTAGGTTGTATCTACAGAAATATTGAATACAAGTCTAAAGAGGTTATAACTTCATTGTACCGGGCCCCGGTTTGGCTACATTTGGAATATTGTATTTAGTATTGGACTCCTTACCTTAGGAAAGACATTGAATTGTTTGAAAGGATTCAGAGAAGGGTTACTAGAATG